GATCCTCAAAGTGGATGACGTGATGGAGAAAATATGTGGGCTCTCAAGACTGCCACATCAAAAATATTCCCCAGAGATTCTCACATCTAGAAGTACACCTCTTATTGCCTTCAGATCCCAGCTCCTCATTCCTGGTTCTCTGGGTTAACTTCCTTAAGATGGGTTATTCATGAAAATTATATATATATATATAATGTATATATAAAATCATTTTATACGTGGTGTGTAGGGGATATGTATGGGGGGGTGCCTGTATCTCAGTGCATGTGTGATCAGAGGACAACTTTGTGGAGTGGGTTCTCTCTACCTTTATTTACATGGGTCCCAGGGAGTGAACTCAGGTCAACAGGCTTGCCCAGCAAGCACCTTTACATGCCGAGCCATCTTGTGACCTAGTTTTTCATCCTTTTTTAAAGCCTGAGGTAGCATTTTTAGAATTTTTCCTATTTATTGGCAGATCATGGTGCTAATATTTAATTGCACACTGCAAATATTGAGTTTAAATGGTAAAATAAACACTTTAGGTTTCTTTTTAAAGACCTATTATTTCCCCGAAGTTGTGTTTCTTTTTGTTGTGACCTCACTAATTCTACATTCTGGGCTTGGCCTAATGGTAATATGACAAATATGATGGTGGACCTTTGAAAGTTACAGTGAGTGCTTATTAATATTTATCTATTAATCAGCAATATTCTAGATCAAGGGCTCAGTATCTGAATCTTAGATAAAACAAACCAAAACGCCTCTAACCAAAGAATTTATGTCTTATTACTATTTTGTGATGTTGGGATGGGTCCTAGGGCCTCACACAAGCTAGGCAAGAGCTTTACCACTGAGCTGCCACCCTAGTGCTAGCTGGGGAGTTTATAATAATCAGTTCTAAGTAGACTCACATAACTAAAAAACGCACCACTGGCTTTATTCTAATATCCTTACTGGAACATTAAGAATAGTTTTTGTAGATGGAAGGGCTCAGGCACACTACATTCCCCACCCCCACCCCCATGGAGCACCACCCAGTTCCACTACCAGACTTCACTGGTAGGCAAGAGGCAATTCTGAGTAAAGCTTATTAGATAATAAAACAGGATTTTCGGGCACGTAATCCATCAGGGGCACTCAGCTGAAATAAGTGCTACACATTGTTAAACACAAGTAACATGCTTTCTGTGGTAGAGATGAAACCTCATCAATGATTAAAAACTTACAGGGTTCAGAGGCAAGACAGCTCACTGGACAGGTGGCATGCGTGGTTCACTGTGATGGCTATCCTTGTCGACTTGATTTGGCTGAGAAACATCACTAGTAAAGCACACCTCTGGGTGTGTCTGTGAGGGTCTTTCCAGAGATACATTCAACATCTGAGTCCAGTGATAGACCCACAATCTGAGTAGACAATTGAGAGGTTGCGGAAACTGCGGACGGCTGCAGAAGTGTTGGCACTGGGGGTGTGCCTCTGAAGGGCACATCTTGCTCTGAGCCTTTCCTGCTGCTCCATCTCCATGACATAGCATCTATGACATAGCATCTATGTCATGCTATTCTGCCTCATCTCGAACCTACAACTGACAGCGCCAACTGGACTGAAACCTCCAAAAGCCAAAGTCAAAATCAGCCCTTCTTCCTTTAAGTCAGGTATCCTGTCACAGAAACAGAGTCTGACTAATAACTCTCAGAAAATCTACCATGTTCAATTCCTGTGCCAACGTCCGCAAAGCCTGACTGGGAAGAAGGTGATCTTGTTTGTGAGAACCCACAGAATCAAGCCCAGTATTAATGAAATTATTTACTTTGCAGCAATGTGTCAAATAATTAAACCAGGAAAAATTCATACTAATTTTTGATGATCCCACTGGAGAATAACTTGGCAATATCTTACAAACACTCTGATCTAGCAACCTCATTTGTGGGAACATGGGCTACAGATGCAACCAACTATGTAAAAGAACATTGCTGCTTATGTTGCAAACTGAAAATAACAAAGAGATGGAGAGGGGGAGAAACTCAAACGTCAATGTAAAAGATACCGGGTTAGACCCAGTTAATACATAAAAGGAGTACTTACATTGTATAAAAAGGATGATTCCCTATGAACTATTACAGACAGGTCTCCTAAAGATATATTTTAAATTCAAAACAGTAAGGTTTGTGACAATATATAATCTGACCCTTTTGCTATACAACAATTAGTATATTCTGATTTGCTATTATTTGTGTAAACTCTGGGAGGGCACATGAGAAATGAACTAAAATGGATCTATTTGAATGGGATCTTCAATATCTACCTTCCTAATACTGCTGGAATTTTGAACCATGGGAAATTCACCTGTTCAGAAATTAGTATTTGAAAATTTTTTTTTTTTGTCTTTTTGAGACAGGGTCTCCGTGTAGCCCCAGCTGTCCTGGAACTCACTATGTAGACCAGGCTGGCCTCAAACTCACAAAAATCTGCCTGCCTCTGCCTCCCAAGTGCTGGTATTAAAGGCGTGCACCACCACGCCTGGCAATATTTAAATATTTTAAAGACTTACTTTGGTGATAAAATATGAAATTTGGAGCAAACAAAATTTGAACACAACTAAGATGGTTCACATTGTCCTTACCGTATTTTCTGGGTTGACATCTGCCCTCAAATATGCTCCGTATTTCACAAAGCATTTTTCTCTTTAATTCCTTAATGTCTACCTTTCAAACCATGCCTATTTTCATTTAACATCTTAACTGTATTACTTGGAGTAACTAAAAAAGCACCCAAGGATGAGATGTCTAAGATGCAAGAAAATTCAAATCGCATTGTAACTGTTTTGGCAGACCCAGATCTTACAGGCCATTATAGATTACCTGTCTCCTCTATTCCGTAAGCAATATTTATATTCTTACAAAACTCCTTCTTGAAGGTTAGGGAGAACAATTGCAGTGACAGCCTCATCCTTTCCCTATAACAAAACCTTTGATAAAGGCTCCAGTGGGCTAGAAACACTTTTCCTTTTCTCTGTAAGTTCACTTGGAACACTGGGTGTCCTTGACACAAATCTGAGTTGGAACTGAGTGGCCCGCTCACCTTTGACTCACTACTAAAACCAAGAATGACCTTAGGTTAAAAACAAATTATCAATCTTCTTACATCATATTACGGGTTCATTTATTTTTGTCAACAGAATCCGTCATCACAAGTATCCAATACATCATTTCAGAGGAGCAGGGATCTCAGCAGTAGGTACCAACTGCAACTTCACAATTCTGGAATTGACAGGAGGACCTATGAGGCTGGGTTCAGTGCTATTGACCACACCAGTAATTGTTACAGAGCTGATCAATTTAGCAAAAGGACACTGGAGATAGCCTCATCTGAGTGCTCTAGTGCAGTGTGAAGGTTAACAATAGGGAGTGTGTGCTTCAGATGCACGTGCAGAGATGCTGGAGCGAATGTCATTTAGCAAGTTATATAACCTGTCTGTGCATCAACTTCCTTCCTTAAGAAAACAAACAAACAATAAAACAGGCATGGCAGTACCAGCCTCATAAAGTCGTCACAAAGACCAAAGGGGATCGTCTTTTCCAGGAGTTGGAAAGAGAAGTGTGGCTTCAGAGGCCAACTTATAACTCCAGCAACTGGATAAAGTCACAGGTTTCAGTCCAACAGCTGCTGGCCTATCTTTTAGTACTCACAGCAGCTCAAAACCAAAGAGCAATTAAGTAGAATTTAACACAAAAGTTGAAGTTACCATTCTCTGAAATCTGAATTGGAAGCAGAAGGCAGCTTAAATTTGTGTAGGTTACATATGTGCTTCTGGAGTAGAAAAAGTTCATGTAGACTATCTTTTAAGTACAGAAATAAAGTACAGTCCTTGGTCCTTAATTCTCGGTAGAAGGTTCATTCCTTACAGCTTACCAAGAAATTAGTGATAAACAGGTATGGTTCAAATGCTCCAAACTCCAATACTCCTAGAAAATAGTCTTTTGAAGTAAAAGAGTGGCCCTTGAATAAAAACTCTCAAATTTGTATTTCACCAACATGAGAATTTCAATCTTACTAATAAAAATGGTGCCAAATACCTCAAAAAATATCCTCACAAGATAAAAAAAAAAGCAGTGTAGAAAACATGTTAGAAGTCTAAGATTTTGCTAACAGAAAATCAATACCATGTTTTTTTTTAATAAACCTTTAGATTATAATTTCCAACTTCAGCAAAATTTCAATTAAGATTGGTTAGATGGTCAGACTCTTACTTGCTTAGGCCAATCCCCCAAAGAATTCAACCACAGCAGCAATGTCCATTTTTAAGTGTATAACCATGTACTTTTGTCCCAACACTCCAGAAAAAAAAAAAAATCAGAACACAAGGAGTAAATGGACTTGGATTTTTAATTTTTTAAAGATTATCTCTCTATATATTAATAAAAAGTGCAAAGAATAGACCTTCATGTTTAAATTATATTCTAAAATAAAATATATATTTCCATTAACTGCAGGAGACAACTGGCAAATAAAAAGCCGGAGAGAGTCCAGTCCCTCCCCGTCACTACAATGGACATACATTTTAAGGAAGCACCTATGAAAAACAGTAGAGTTCACAACACATCTGGGCACAGAGAGCATTTCTGGGTATTCTTGAAAGCAGTTTGTTTGCATTTTCAATCTAACATGAAATGAAGAGAAAATCAAATTCATCAATAGAAATGACACTGCTTAGAACTATCTAGCATTCTGGAGTCCTGTGTTCCACAGGCCCTGGGGCCTAGCGTTGTGGTGCAGCCAGCCAGACTTGTGCGTTAGGAGAGGCTAGGGGCACGTGCCTCTGACAGCGATCAGCATTGCTCAACAAAGTCCTCTGCTCCCAGCACTGCTGGGGTGGCAACAGGGCTGAAAAACCTACTTAGAATTGGATTGCTCCTTCCCTTTGTTTACAGTGCCCCCCGCCCCCCCCCCCCCGCCCCGTAGATGTAGCATTATAACATTTAGCCCTGTTACACAAAGGTGGGCCTAATTTTCACCAAACGGTCTTTACAAAGTGGCTGATAATCTGCCACTTTCTTAGTTTTACTGACAAAAGGTTGCCTTAATGCACAAATCTGGTCTTTTTCTTTTTTAAAGTAATGTAGGCTATTTCAACAACTCGAATTGAAAAACTGACTTCGGTTGTAGCTTTGGCAGCTACCCCGTAAGTAGAAGGGTCCCTTGGTTTCAATTTGGCTTTCGTACTTATTTCTTTCCTTGCTATAGCTGAAAAGAAGTTCAGTTTTAGAAAGGTATGTTCTATACACTGTGCCTGAAGGAACGTCTCTGTAATACTGGTGAGGACAGCACTCTGCCTCCTGTCAACAATATGTTCCCACTGAATCTGGATGAAGTCAATATTAAAATACAGACAAGCTACAGACAATCAATATGGATAACATGCAGACTCAAAGGTCCATGGGCGCTTCTCTCCTCTTTCTGAGTCTGTTATAAAAATAATTTTGGTTACAAATGTCTACACAGCACCAATTTTAATTTCACAAGCAGCCTCTTTGCTCAGCCACTCAGATGAATATGTAAGGATACATGCTCAAACAGCTTTTCTCATTTACTTCTGTCATTCTAAAAGGCCAGGAATCATATTAGTTTTTCTTAATTGGAAATTATTTAGCAGTAATTAAAACCATCAATTACAATACCCTAAAAATACATCAGCTGAATTTGGATAAGAAGTTCCCTTTACATGCAACTGTATAATAAAAGAATTAGGCCTGCAGTTGATAAACACTGTGTTCTGTAATAACAGAAGAAACAGGTCTCTAATAGTAAAAAAGCATTTCATAAAACTTTGTCTTATATAAAATATCTTATTGTGACCATTCCACTTATGATCAAAGCATAAGTGTTCACTCTGCCTTCTGCTGTGGGGCGGTTGGGGGTCCAACAAGTTCAAAAAATAAGAGTGCATCTGTTTCCCAGGCTGACAAAAGCAACAGTCTCGATTACACTGTGTCTCTCGCAAACTCCACTGCACTCACGCGCACATATACAAAGCTCCCAGTTCTCATCTTCGTGACACTGTTGCCACACTTTTTCTTTTTTTTCTTTCAAAAAAATCTGTCAGGAAAATTCGACTGCAAAATAATTGTCCTTGTCTATCCCCAGCCTGGATCTCCATCGCTCATTTTTAAGATTCTAAGAGATCAAGTCTGCAGCAGAAGGAGAATAGGCCTCATTCATCTTTCTCAAACCCTTTGGTTTCCACCTTTAGTTACAGTGAATGAAGATTTGCCTCAGTAGGCCTGAGTCAAAGGCTTTACAGATACTGAACCTGAAGTGCAACAAGAGAACAAACACCTGCCGTATGTCAGAGGAAGATCTAGAAGGTACTGGTAATAAATGTAACTCCCCATACATAAAGAATTCACAAGCGTCATCTGAAAATTCAGGCAACAGCTGCATTCTTGGAAAACTTTTACTGTCTCCCACCTATCCACATGGTGGACCAAAAAATCTACATGCCAAAGAAGGGATTCACATCCAATTAACACAGGCTAGAAGGGCAAAGAAAAGACTTTGGAGTAGGTAAGGGATGGGTTTTGAAGGAAAAGTGCTTTAAATATACTTTTGCAAAAAATAAATACATAAGTAAATAATCCGGGAGCTCTGGCACTGAAACTTCACTCACAGATTAGGCAGGGTCGTTCGACAGCGGCCTAAACTGAAATCGAAAACAACTGCTCAATTATGACACCATAAAATCCCAAGGAAGAAGTAGGAACCAAAGTTCCCTTTATTAAAATTTCTCACTTTTTATGAAAGTGCAAGAAGGGCTTCAAATGGATGCTGGCAGGAAGTCATCAAGCTCACTCACTCCCTCCACTTCCTCCCTCACTCTCTTCCTCCACTTCCTTCCCTCACACATGTGGAGAGCTGATTCTCTGATATCAAGAGTGCACATCCAGAATTCTTCTGGCTTCCCCTAAAGTCAGGCCTCTATTTCCAATAGCTCATGAAACAAAAGCTGTGAGGAAATACATTCAACAAGCAAAAGCAAAAGAGTGCCGGAGCCTGACATTTATGCAATGGGCGTAATGGCGGATAGACACAAGGGCTCCAAGACTGAGTCGTGTATGAGATTAGACTGTTCTGCCCGTGCTTCCAGAAAAACGGCAAGTTTTCCTAGAGTTTTAATTTTCTATCTATTCTTCTTTAAGATCCTAAGAGAGTTCTAGGTTCTTAGTGAGTACCTGAGATCAGAATCAGGTTGAAAAACACTTAAAACACTCAAAATTATTTTTAAAAGGAGGAATGAGGGGGAAAAAAAAACAGTTGAGGGAAAAAACAAGTTAATTGTGAACAGAGTAGAACTATCTGGTAAGCATGTGCTGATGCAAGTCAAAGTAGAAAACAGAACCCAAGGGAGAGGGAGGGAGAGGAAGGGGAAAGGAAGAACGGGGGTGGGGTGGGGGGGAGACAGGGGTACAGGCCCTTCCTGTGAAGATTCCATCTGCTGACTTGAATACTGCCCACCACCCTTCTGAAGGGCTGTGCTCTCCCTGCTGTCTTCACAGTGGCTAACAAACCCTGGCGAACACAGTATGAGTCAGTGATTTCTTGATCATGTTTCACAGACAGGGCATAAGGACTGGAGAAGCAGCCAAGTCTGCTGGCTGAGCCAAAGAAATCTGTGATAGAAAATACCCAAAACAGCCCCCTACCCATTCTAGGGGAAAAAATATACAAAACCCCTCCAAAGGCTAAATGAAACAAAACAAAAAGAGCCTTCTCCCTCCTAAAGAAAACCACACTGGAAACAAACGCCCTGCAAGAAGTCCACGAGAGTGTTTTTACAAGGCTGGTAGAGGTTATTTTGTTTTGGATTCCACAAAAATTTTATCTCCATCCCTAATGCCAAAGGAATGCAGTGCCCGGGAACTGTACTTCATTTCTTCTGGGCCAAAAGGGGCTTCATGGTCCAAGTAGTAGAGAAGCATGCTGCTTGTGGGCAGCTGCACTAGGGTTTTCAACTGCTTCTTCAGTTCTGCTACTGTTTGGTCCAGACGGATGCTCATTTCTTCCACCTGATCATTAAAGTGGACTTCTACCTTCGCACTGCTCTGGGGTCTTAGGTCCACTTCTGCCAAAGGCTCTAGCTTCCCATATTTTGTAATCAGTTCATGATACCTAAAAGGATAAGAAGAACAGTGTTAGCATAAGCTACGGACTCCAGAGAGGCCTTCTTCCCAGGAACAGGAAAACCACACTGCTACACTGCATCTCTGGCATCCTGAGCTACTGTGGATGGATGTAGCTACTGGATGGCTACTGTGGGTTCCAGGGCACAACATGGCTCTCTGCTTAGGCCACAGCAAAACCTCATGCATGTGGATGAAAGAAGCATTTTTCCTGAAGATGGTCTCCATGCTCAGAGGGGCTGGGGGTGTCTCACAGTTGCTAGAGTGGTTGCCAAGCATACATGAAGACCTGGGCTCAATGCCCAGAACTGCATAAACAGATGTAGTAGTGCAAGCCTGTAGCACTTGGGAGGTGGAGGCAGGAGGATTAAAAATTCAAGGTTGGGCTGAGAGATGACTCAGCGGTTAAGAGCACTGACTGCTCTTGCAGAGGACCCGGATTCAATTCCCAGCACCCACATGGCAGCTACAAACCATCCTTAACTCCAGTTCCAGGGGAATCCGAAGCCCTCTTCTGACTTCTGCGGCATTGCACGAATGGGTGCACTCACATACATGCAGGCGATACTCTCATACACATAAAATAAAAATAATAAAATATTTTAAAAATTCAAGGTTATCCTCAGTTGTGGTCAAGCTCGGCCAGGGATACATGGGAGCCTGTCTCAAAACAACACAATGACAAACCAAACAATAATCTTAAGAATAGGCTTAAAGGGAACAATGTAGAAAAGTGGGCACTGGCAGCAGAGTCCTGTCCTTCCACAGAGCTTGTTTTCCCAGATGTTAACACTGAGAGCAGCAAATGGCTAAGAACATGCTCCTTGGTAACACGTGGGAAGAGGGAAGCAGGTGAGCAGTTTCTGAGATTCCCAAGAAGCTGTAGCTTGTACACAAAAACATGTACTTCAGCTATTAATCCAGCTTTTTCAACGAAGCTTTGTTTTAAAGTTCCAGCCTAGCCTCAGCTAAAAGACAAGAAGTTTATTAAAAGATCCAGGATACATTCTTGGAAAAAGAAGGTGATGAATAAAGAATGTTCTCCAATCAGGGTAGGAATAAAAAAGCTAAGCACAGTGAGAAGAGACTGAGTAACAGAGGTGAGAACAGGTCAAGAATGTTTCCCACATGGAAACTCCTGCATTCACTGTCAGCCCAAAGGAATTTAGATTACTGATTTGATGGAGGAAATTAGGCAGTCTCCTACATACCAGAGAGGGAAAAACTACTGGAAAGATTCAACATTAGTTCTATCATAACTGAGACACACTGAGGTTTAATTAAAGATCAGAACACAAAGTCACAGAGAACTCTTCCCAGCTACCCACTCTACTCATGACCTTCTCAGTACAATCAGTATCATAATGAGGTTAGTAGGAACATTAACGGCACAGTGAGACATCTGTGCTGAGAGATGCAGGTGAGCATCTCCTTTAAGGGGAGTAACGGAATAAAAATAGCACTGGTTCCGACTTCCAAGTCTTGACTCTACTTTGTAATTAGCGAGATGAGTTGGCAACTTACTCAGTTCTTCTAGATCTGTTTCCTCACTAGCAAATTCAGGATGCTAAGTCTTGCCCTTCCTACCTCAAAGACAGTGGTAAATGAAGTAACTGGTGAGCAAATCCTTTGTAAACTCTAAGTTCATATACAAATACAAACCTGACCATTAATCCATGCTGCTCTGGAGCTTGTATCACTAAAACATACACACGCCTTGGAAAATACAAGACTGAAACCTTCTTAGGTGAAACTTCTTAGAAAAGATGTTGGTGTGTTAAAGCAGAATACAGAATTGCCTCCTAGGACATGAGCCCAAAGTCGTATTTTTAAAAGAGATTAAAATAAGCAAACAAACAAAAAAAGCCCCCAAAACTAATCAAACAAGAAATACCGTCAATAGCCACACCAGAACTGGGGGCACAACCATATTATCCTAATCCTTTATTTTATTTATTTTTTAATTTTTTGGTCTTTTGAGACAGGGTCTCTCTGTAGCCCCAGCTGGCCTGGAACTCACTATGTAGACCAGGTTGGCCTTGAACACATAGAGATCTGCCTGGGATTAAAGGCATGTGCCACCATGCCTGGCTGTCCTAATCTTTTCAATGGAGCCAAAAGTTCTGTAGCATGCAGTGTAACTAACCAAAGACATGATCCCCAGCTCTGAAATCACTACAGAGAAAGAGACCAGATCCTCCTAGTTTAAAGAAAAGCAGACAAAGAGACTAAGGAGTCAGCCAGATTAAGGAGGAACCAGGATGGAAAAAAGTCCTGGGGATAAGACGCCTCTCACCCCACTGTTGGAGTGATAGGGTTTCAGCAAAGGCAAGCCAAACAAAGACAAGCCCAGATGAATAAAACTACCAGGACTTGAGAGTCTGGATGGCTCGAAACTGGAGTCTCTTCTTCTCATCTCCTGTCACATACCTTCACACAAGCATAAAAGGATTATGATGATGTCACGAAATCTCAGAAAAGGTAGAAGAACCCAGTGGGCAAATGAGCTGAACCAAATTTCAGAGATATTTCCCCTCCAGACTACAGAAAAGTTGACAGACGAACACCCTCAAACTGCCTAAAAGGGACAAAAGAAGTAACAAAGGGACCAAGGAGAGTTAACACCTGCTACGTATCAGTTAACAGTCTGAGAAGTGCCCACTTTCACACATAAACAGCCACATAAGCCACAGAAATGCCAAGCACATACCACAGGAAAAAGAATGGAGGAAAGGAACACAGAAGCAAGTCCAAGAGGGGACACAGGGCCAGTTGAAGGAAACAGTTGAAGTGGGAACAAAATCTGAAAGCAGTCAGACTGAGAGAAGAAAATATACCACAAACACCCACTGTCTAGAAATCAGTGAGTGTAAGAACAGAAAAATTTGAGAGCTTGAAGAGAAATGTGAACTGCAGAACAGGGTGGAAGGGAGAGAATGGGTGGTCCACCACCTTTACTCACCGGACAAGTGAATGACAGAGTAATCAAGGCCAGTAGCCACAGCCAGATTCTGTTCAGTAATAAAGTTAGCAAGGAAACAGTCTGAAACAAGAATGAACTGAGGACACAGACACCCCCATGAAAACACTTCAGCAGTGGGGCTGCATTACAACAATGGGATTGATAACCCTTGAGTCTACTTAAATAGAAAACTAAAACTTAACAATAATTGTAAGATTTCTGAATCACTGACACTGGAGACAAATTAATCTCAACATAATAAACTATAATCAAAATTATATCCAAATGCAGAAATCAACCTAGCTGCTAGAAATGAGCAAGCATATTTCACAATTAAATGATTTGCAAATTGAGACACTGCCATGTCCTATAGTCTTCTCAGAGTCAACATGTACAAACATACCAACTGTCTTCTCTTCCAATCTTTCATATCGTGGTAAATAGTACTGACAACTATCCAATTATCCTCGCTAAAAACTAGACAGCCAATCTGGTTCATTTCTGCCCTATCTCTTTCCTCTGCTGCCTCATTCAATCAATTAACAAGTTTTTAAAAATTATTTTTATTTTATGTGGATGAGTGTATTGCCTGCATGTATGTTAGTGCACCCATGTTGTGCAATGCCGCGGAGGTCAGAAGAGGGCTTCAGATTCCCCTAGAACTGGAGTTAAGGACAGTCCGTAGCTGCCATGTAGGTGCTGGGAATCAAACCTGGGTCCTCTGCAAGAGAAGTCAATGCTCTTAGCTGCTAAGCCGTCTCTCCAGTTAATTCATTTTCCTCTTATTTTATTAATCTATCTGCATGTCTCTTGCCTCATAAATTCAAGTCACTCTCATTACAATCTTAACACACCTGGCTGCAAAAACTAGATGACCTTCCTCTCTGTCTAGGCCATTTTCCTCCTGGTGGGCCTTCCTATACTGCAGAGTTCGGAAAGCTGAAATCAACATTTCCCACATGCCTTTGCAGATGAGATTTAGCTTCTACCAGAATCGGTCAGCTCTAAGTTTGCAACAGAATTAGTAGATCTAGCAGACACAATGTGGGAAAAATGTGGGTGGCAGCTTCCACATCAGTCTAAAAGTTCGAGCAATGTTCCTGGAGTCAAAGCCGTAGCAGCATCTTGCTGATCTCCAGATCCTAGCGGTGACCGATCAGCACCAAGGACAGCTGCTTGCAGAGTCCTTCCACCTTCCCTACTACCTACCTCCCATTATTGCGGAGGTAACAGTGTCCTTAGAGGACGAGTTCTCTGATATTATTCTAGAGGCTTAGGGAGGCAGCTTAAACCTACTCCTCCAGCTCTTCCGAAGAATTTGTAAGGAGTTTACTCACTGCATGAAGCCCCTTTCTCCTTAAAGTAGCTAATGCCTTTTCATGAGTTCAGGGTTGCTCCAAGACAATCCTTGCCTATATCACTGTCAAATGATTATTATAAAACACAAATGTGAACAACTCAGTCTTTTACTTAAAACACACACTGTCCACCAGAATAAAACCTTAATTCTGTAACATGATTGTGGCAGGCAGAATTTTGGTCTCCAAATCTGGATGGGCTGAATCTAAAAAGAAACAAGTTTCTCCAGTTAGTAGAAGAAACAAAACAAAACCAGAGATTCTCCAACTAGCAGCACAGGAAAGACGAAACACCATTATTACATAAAGATGGATGGGCCATGTGGAATGCTTAAGAATTCTTTTGAGACTGCAAAGTGATTCACCAGGGCCTCCAGTAAGGAAAACAGCCTTGCTGACCTCTTCATTTCTGCCTTGAGGGACCTTGAGCAGAGACCCAGCTGAGTCACACTGCCCAGACACTGTGCCTGTCCACAGAAACAGTGACATAGCAATTGTTTTAAGCCACTAACAAGGTGTGTCATCACTTGATCATTTCCTACACCCACATTTCTACTGTTTATAACTTCAAATCTACATTTATTCATTGATCTACCGGTAAGGCCGGTAGACTTTCATATATGAGTTAGATTTTGGATGTGGGCTATAAAGGAAATGTCCACTCTTAAA